CGAGTAGGCGAGGTCGCGTATCGTCTAGCCCTACCTCCCAAGTTATCAGGCATTCATAATGTGTTCCACGCATCGATGTTGCGTAAGTACGTGTGCGACCCCGATCATGTTATCCCTCACACGGATATTCAGTTTCAGCCAGATTTGTCATACGAGGAGCGACCGGTAGCTGTACTAGACCGTCAGGTCCGTCGGCTCCGGAAGCGAGATATCCCCCTCGTGCGCATTCAGTGGGAATGCCACGGAGCTACTNTGCCCCTATTTTGTCTTATTTTCCTAGACTTTTTTAAACGCATACGATTTGTCTTCAAAACGCGATGGTGCGATAGGAATATGTTATCCATATAATATAATAGTGCCATGTAATATCCCGATATTTTATCGGTATAAATTACATGTTTAATTCCGATATAATAACGTTATTGTTTATTATTGTCGGAATTAATTATTTTCAGTCAAGAGTACCGAAATTTATTTTCGACGTACCGTTTACGTTCGGAATAATTTTGGTAATTAAGTATTATGTTTGATTAATAATTAAACAGAAACTTTAGTGATTAATTGTGATTAATCACATCCTTAAGCCCTAATGCCGTGACATTAGGGAGAAATTCCCAATTTGTATTAAAAATGCCGTAGCTTTTCTTAAGATGAGGGAAATCAATTTCCCTTCCCACATTGAGCATGAAACGTGGCTTTAGAAGATTTAAAGGAGTGGATTAGTCATCTCAAGAATGCATGAGAATTAGGCAAGTGTTAGGCTCTACATTAAGCCACGCCAAGCTAACATATACCATTTCCCCCATTGGCCGCGTATAAAAGGAAGAGGTTGATTGAAAATTTCCCCCACTTTTCTCTTAAGAACCAGGTCCCTTCGGTATATATACATATCAGACCCTTTCTTGCAACCAAATTAAACAATATTCCCTCAAATCCTACACAAATTCTATTAAACACCACACGGCCGTGAGTATAAGAGGAAGGCCTTAGTCAATTTTTCTCCATTTTTCCCATTAAGAGAGAACATTACCTTCAGCATAGAATATCCTAT